CCGTATTTTTTAAACAAATAATGTTGGGGACAGGCTGCTGAATACAGAACGAATGGTCACCGTAATTATATTAAGCAATATATTAAGTACTAAATTACGTACGCGTGTTTATTACTTCTTTAATAGATTTTTATTCCAATTTCTCTTTACTATTTTGATTTATTTTATTGTTGATCTCTTAGACCGTACGATGAAAATTTTCATTTCAGATCATTTAATAATCACGTGTACGAAACAATATATAATTCGATTTATCATTAGTTTTATATACGATATACGTTTCTCTTAATTCTAATCAATACTATATATTTTCTGCTCGGAAAATTCATGCTGCGAATTGGTGGATGTGCAATTATCGATGATCCACAATTTGAAAAGAGAAATAGGAACTGAACTTGGAATGTTTAGAACAGTGTGCATCTATTAAACACACTTATTGCACTTACTGTTATAATGTATGATATGTCGAGTCTAAATTATAATAGGGTAATTATTATTGTACAATAATTCAGGAGCTAAATTATTGTATAATAATTGGAAAGCTTTAATTGCAATTTTGTTCGAAAGCTTGGTACATAAGGTTCAGGTATACAATCTAAGAGATTCTTAAAATACGATACATAAATTACAGGAAGCTGTGATTAATCTATAAGTGACGTACTTTTACGGTAATGACATTATTATTATATATACGGCAGTATATTATGATAATATGTCAGGATAAAAGATTCCTAAGCATAGTGTCTTGATATCGCGATGTAGCTTATAGTTCTTGCTATAGGATTAATATATTTGATTGATTAACGAAGTACTAATCACTAGTATTTTATAGTTTGAAACGAATTTGCGTATTTTCAATAAAATAATTATATTCTAAATTTGTCCGATTAATTTGATAGAGTGAAATTGTTTTTGATAAGTTCATGCGTTATATGCATTATTTACGAGTAGATAGTTCGAAAGAAGATTATTATATGGACGTTAAAAAAAATGATTGAAAATGAGAATAAATCGAGACGCATCTAAAATATAGGAAACATCTTATGATAGTAAAGTATTATTTATTTAAAGAAACAAAAGGGAAACAAATCTCCTATTAAGGACAAAGACAAGTTATTATTTACGACAAATAAAGGAAATCAAATTTCGTAAAAACACGCTTGCATAAAATATCTAAATATTAAACTACAAGGCGCATTGAGGCTTAGAATAATTGTCCTAACTGGATGACTAGAGCACACATTTCAGCTATCGTTTGTCTAATCCGTTCTAGAAACTATGACTTCGTTTTTCAAATGTTCTGTTCCTTTTTTTCTCGTTGAGCATTTATGAACTGCCGCGAAAGACAAACAGTTCCTTGATACTTGCATCATACGATGCAAATTGTTGTCAGTACTGCAAAATAGAAAATGAATTCTCCGACTCTCCAGCAGTGAAACATTGTTAATGAACCAAAGCGATTGAAATTAGAGATTCATCCATCGTTTAAAGTGAAAGGGGGAAAGATGTTTTCTATACTTAAACCATAGAAACTATGTTCATGCTACGAAATAAACAGCTTTCTGAATCGGATTCAATTGATTTCTGAAACGTCTTGCCAAGAAAGCTGCGATCACCTGGAAAATAATTATCATCTTTTCAATTAATCACCTTTTAAATTTAGCGAAACTAACTGATCCGGATTGAACGTATGAGGTCATGTTATGTACATAAAGTGATCGATGAGAACTATTTTTCTAAATATTTTAACGTGAGAACACCCACCATCTATTAGGAGGATCATATGAGGTGACAGAGGACATAGCGATGCTATTAGACTAGAGGAAAGCACTAGGATTAGCTCGTGGGTCTTTCTGGTTCCTGTATCGCACGGTCAACCAAACACCAACAAACTGTAACGGTTACATAAGTTAAAACATGTAAAATAAAACATTGTTCATTCGAACGAAGTGAAACAATTCACAGATGTAACGTTTCAAAAGCAGTATCGATTTTTCACATTGGATTAATTTAAGTGAACAGCATGAAAATAAAGTAGCATGTTGGTCCTTACCTCTGTAAAGCTGAAGAACAATCCTATGCTGCCACACAATTTAAAGGCATAGTCAATGGTAGATTGTAACTTTTGCATGCACGGGGGACATTCGCAATCGGTTTCCGTAGGGTACAGACAACATTTCTGAAAAGATTTAATCAAAAAATGAATCATTTTCATTACTGCATATACGAAGATTATACTTACAGCTTTGCAGGCTATTGCCTGATCACTTTTGAACGAGATTACAGTTTCATTGAATCCGCAGCAATTGAAGGTTTCCTCAACCTTGTCCCTTAAATCATGACCAACACGTGTCCAGCCCTAAGAATGACAGTAATAACATAAAGTTACTTTTACTGTAATAAATTTGTATAATGAATATTATACCTGTTCTGCCAATTGTTCTTGTTGCTTGGTATTCACAGCAAGACAAGCACAAGCGATGCTGAATTGAATCAAGAATAACAGGAAGAGAATGAGCATGTACTATATAAATATTAAGGATTGTATCATAGCTCATTCCTAAAATGTTCACTAATTATTCATTAACAAAAGGATACGAAGAACAGTAGAACTTGATGGTGTTTAACAGCACCGATTAAGCCAAGTATAGAAATTAGAATCAGAATAACACCACATGCTAGAATGCCTCCAATTATAGGGAGATTAGTGACTAACGCAGAAGCTCTCCCATAAACAGCGACACCGATTAAAATAAATGCAACAACCTGAAATATTAACATATAATTGAATACAAACACAGTATAGATCCTGATGTATTCATTGTTATCATTACTCCACCAATTATATTGATTATCAAGTTATATATATCATCATGTATCAAAAATCCAATCTCCGTCTATTTGCGTTTGTTTAATCGCGAGATAAGCTGATTTTTTCGAAGACGGAGACGATCTAAAGAGTAATTCGGATCGTACAAGCATCACTTATTTATAGTGGAATAAGACACGGTTAAATATAAAATGTGTATATTCGTTGGAAGTGGTAGACAGCAACCCCGTTTCCGGGAGCTTACGATGTAAAGGATGTTTAGCGCCGTCAATGCGTTCTTGGAGCACGTAAAGCCGCCGCACATCTTCGTAAATGGGGCTCTGTTCCCTTTCCTCGTACGATACACCCGCGTGTGGGCACGTCGACCCGTCAGATCACTCTCTTCCAGGAATTACGGACGCTTTGTTGCTAACACTGGGGATTAAAGAAAAATGCATGCGCGTTGGGCAGCGTTGGGTTCGCCGTCGTACGTGAACTAACAACTCCGCCGCCCCTTCGGAGTATGCAAACACTTTACGACTGGTTTTCTTGCACCCACCGAGCCACTGCAACCAACTCGAATGCCCGAACGAGTTCGAGATCTCGAAACCGCGGCGCGAAATTTCAGAACGTCGTTCTCATCTGCGCACGGAAGTAATTCATTTTTTTCGAATCATAATTTGGAGATTGCAGATTGTTTACGTAGATTATGTTTTATATGCCAACTTTGATAAGCACGTAGCTGCGATCAAGCAGAATTAGCTACTGAATTTGCCGAATTACAGGTTTGGAAGTAGACACTTTTAATTATTTTATATGAAATAAATGGGTTTTAAATAATAATTTCTATTACAAAATAGACGCAATACGTATTCTACTTTTGGTATATTTTATATATTACATAGTGTTGACTTTAAATAGTTTTGACTTTAACATTACTGACATGAATAAAATCAAGACCAGAACAAGCAATTCTCATTATATTCGCAATTTTATTATTCTGCTAGTCAATCCCAGTTTATTCAGTTGTTGAATATGTACTATAGGATCGTGCAATCTAATAATCCGGCATATCTAACAATTGGCACTGAAGAACATGCTTTCGGAATTCAAACTTTCAAATGCTTTATTAGTTGAGACAATAGGCATATTTTCACTGTTTCGTACGACTCTCAATGCTTCCGCCTTGTCGAGTCGCTGATTCAAATCTAATTGAGATGGAAAATAACTCGTTCAAATGCGTATTTCTGTTGACGAAGCGTTCAAGATTTTCCATTGATATTTAAATGGACGTATACAATGTAAAATATTCATTACGTCGAGGTCTATTTCGTTTTCATGACAAAAATTATAGGCATCATAAAGCTATCATGATAACATGTGCAAAGACTAGGCGTTCTTTGCACAAAACTCATACTCGTCAGATAACGCATAATGTGTATGCGTTTATTTGCGCCTGTGAGACTTGTGTAAAATATTTGAATGCCATTTGTATTTCTACTCGTTGAACTGCCGACATCGTAAATTTCAATTTGCGCATATCTTTTTACGAAAAGTTGACAGAACTCAATGGAATTACGTAAAAATATAATTACCGTAAATGTCGTTCGATAAAAATTTACTAAGTGGTAATAAAGGGTCAGCATTATCATACGACATTACATAAACATTTTTGCGTAATGCGCCTCCTAAATATTATTCCGGTTTTCTACGAGCGAATCCAAACAGAATATTCTCGCATTATACATAACATCTACAAGTATTTCGTGACACTAGATTCGTTATCTGACCACTTTAATAAATCTCTTATTCACAAGTTGTATCTTGAGATCGGTATTTGTATTTCAAAAATGATTATCATGTTTTAAAGTATATATTTTGACTATCGAAAATAAGATTGTCAAATCTTCATACTCAAATCGAACTTTAATCTTCTACATTTTCAAATTTATATATTTTACATATATTTATATTTGAAAAATTGAAGTTGTTTGTCTAATTAAAAATATGATAAGATATCTTCGAACACGGTTAAACTGCATTTTAATTACCTCTTTTCACCCACTCTTGGCTTTCCACTAATGTAGTCAAATGAGACTAGTAGCGTAGTGAACATTACGAGAGATTCGGTTGTGATAACAAGACAACTGATAAAACCGACATATAAAATGTAGTACATCGCGATTAAGCTTCCAGTCCGTCTATAATGCGTTAAAAAGAGGCACGAAGGAGGCCAATACAAAATCATTGTTCTTCCTGGTGGCTTTATTACGTTTCATCGCTATCTCTGTAAGTTTCGCGACAACTATTATCGTTGATCAACACGAAACCTAACTTCCTAAATCTCATAAATTTGATTATTATCACATTTTATTATTTAAAGCGAATATTTGTATTACACAAAAAATGCAATGAAAACAAAACAGTTAAGATGTGTAATAAATGAGAAATATGAGACAATTCAATTTGATGAATGTTACAGTCCGTAAAAGAAGAAATAAGAAAGATGAACAAATCGCAAATCAAATGGTTGCCACAATATTTAGCTGCGATTACAGGTATTCATTTAATTATTTATTATTGACAAAACAAATGCCTCGATCGATCATTATAACATTTTACATTCAAGTTCTTACCTCGATGATATGCAGAAGTCATATTCATTATACATTCACGTCTCTTTTCGTACACACGACGTTCAATATTTTCTTCTCTCCTCATAGCCACCTTGTCCGCGGCTATTTCGGGTACTCACATCGGCTGGACATCGCCAATATTACCAAAATTAAAGTCTCCAGACTCCCATCTGGTAATAACCTCGGACGATGCCTCGTGGATCGCCTCGCTCGTTCTCCTCGGCTCGGTACCGGGCAATATACTCGCCGGTTTCATCGTAGATTGGTTCGGTCGTAAAACGTGCCTCCTGTTAGGTGGTATCCCACTCACCGTTAGCTGGATCCTAATTATCTTAGCCTGGGAGCCTTACATCCTGTACGTGTCGAGGTTCATCGCTGGCATCGGGCTCGGCGTTGCGTACGTGGCGTGCCCGATGTATATCGGCGAGATCGCCGACAAGAACATCAGAGGCTCGCTGGGTTCTCTCATCAAGTTGATGGTGACTTTCGGCGAGCTGTACGCCCACGCGATCGGTCCGTTCGTCTCGTACGAGGGTCTCGCGTACAGCTGCAGCGCGATATCGGTGATCTTCTTCCTGACGTTCATCTGGATGCCGGAATCACCGTACTATTTGCTGATGACAAACCGCGAGGACCAAGCGATGAGCAGTCTCAAGCAGCTCAAGTGGTACGCCACGGAGGACGAACTTGAAGAGGACATGGAGCAGATGCAGAAGACCGTGGTACGCGATCTAAGCGACAGAGGACATATATGGAATCTATTCGACACGCCAGGTAACAGGAAAGCGGTTTTGATCGGGTTCGGTCTTCAGTTCGTGCTGCAGTTCAGCGGTTTGGCCGCGATCGAGTCGTATACACAAGAAATGCTTGAGGAGGGCGATAATGGTTTACCTGCCCCAATAGCGGTGATTGTCCTCAGCGTCGTTCAATTAATAGCCGGCGTCGGGGCCGCGGTTTTGGTAGATAGATTAGGACGCAGACCGCTGCTCCTTGTTACGACGTTACTCTCTGGATTAACTTTGACAGTCGCTGGGACGTTTTATTTCCTGAAATTCTTCGTGTTGATAAATGTGTCCAATTTTGGTTGGGCTCTTCATGTCTCTGTAATATTGTACGAATTGTTCGTCGCGTTAGGTTTGAACCCGTTGTCTTACATGATGCTTGGGGAACTTTTTCCTACAAATATCAAAGGAATTGCTGTGTGTACTGCGAATGTGTGGGCCTCCTTATTAGCGTTCTTCGTTTCGAAAATGTACCAAGTCGTTTCGGATTCTTGCGGAATTTATACTTCTTTCGGTTGGTTCGCGATAAGTTGCTACCTCGGGATCGCATTCATACTTTTCGTTGTCCCGGAAACGAAAGGAAAATCGTTGTTGGAAATACAGGAGGAATTGAATTGCAAGAGGAAGAGCCAACGCAAAGGTTTTAAAAATAATCAAGAAATTCGTATCAGCACGATCAGTTAAAGAGAAACAGTAAAACAATGGTTCCGATTTCTATTCTTAGCCCAAATAATACTTCAATCGATCAATCAAAGCAAATCCTTATTTTTATTACGTCGAGAAGGAATAGATTTAATAATGCCGATATGATGATTTCATTTATTTTAAATTTTCTGCAATTCAAGAAGAATTATTAGCATCGATAAGTAAAATGTAAACTTTAAAGAATTTTCAACTATTATGCAAAATATTACAAGTCAATTTATTGCATTGACAAAGGCACGTTCATTTATGTTTACAATATTGCAATTTAAATTTTATTTAATTAATTATTACATTTCTACATTATGTATAATTAAATTATTAGTGAACCATTGTTTTAGCACGTTCCCATAGAATCTCTAAATGGCTTTTAACGAAACAGTACCTTCCCTGTATCCCGTGAAATCTGCGCTTGTGTGGAAAGTTTTAGGCTTAAATTGATTTCGTTTTAAACTCGACCGGAATCAAGGGCGTTCAATTCCGATCGAAGGAATTTCGTCTACCGTCTTTAACAGTGAAACTTAAAACTTCCCGAATGAACCGAACATGCTTTTTTTTTAGATATAATTTAGGATGTACGATTTTATTTATAAGTGAGGGCCCTTATATTCCATTTAAAGGAATCATTGCTCCAGTCGGACTCGAAAATTGTTGGATAGGTTCTTTGATTACGGTTTCATCGCTGATTAGCAAAAAAGACAAATTGTTCAGATTGTCGAATAAATTATTCGATGTGAATATTCTTATCTGCGATGAAATCGTGATCGAAGTTAATATCAATAACTGGAGCAATCTTAATGGAAGTTTAATGCGAATTTCTGTTACACATAATTTCCAGAAATTGATTTATTGTTCTGAAATCAATGTCTAGAAATCATGGTGTATGCGTGCCTTAGTTAGGACCCAATTTGTGTAAGAGCAAACTCGCATGACCATCTTCTTTCCCTTTTAGGCAGGGTTAAATGTTGAGACTGATAGATTTTAAATTAATCGTAAATATTTATTTATCGCCAAACGACGTTACACCACGACGAAACTGATGTATTATAACGTTCGCAAATCCTTTTCATCCCAGGCTATTTCATTCGTACGAATGCACTCGATATTTAAAGTATTATTGTGATCTGTTATACGGATTAAGCACAATTATGGTTCCTTGTAATTAGTTTGGCGATTAGGACCATCCTTTATCCCTTTCAGGCAGGGTGCAAGATAATACAATGGTTACGATTAAACGTTATCAAAGCGCGCCGCGTACTAATACTAACGCGAGTACACAGGCCTGATGCAAGATGGATTTAGGTGAGCACCGTGGCATGACTAACTTTATTTATCCCTTTTAGGCAGGGTGAAACATATTACCATAAGAATTGCTTCGGCGCAGAATATAATCGGCCCGATTATGGTTATACACATCTTATTATTAACACCGTTAATGGAAAGTAGAATACTTCATAAGCTACGTTACATTGCATGCAATTGTACTAAGTGAATCAACCTCGCCACCTGTCACACTTAATCGGTTCATCACAAATTGTATCCTCTATCGCTCGTGGGATCCAAAAATTGCACGTCCATCAGCTGCAATTTTCATCCAGTTGTAATGGAAAGGAAACCTACTTATAGAGCGATCACTTTGTCACAATTTGACGAGCTCGTATAATGTTATGAAGTATTCACGCACTTATTGTAAAATGTTTTAACTCTACTATTATGTTTACGCGATTGCATGACTCTCTACACGTCCCTTTCAGGCAGGGTGCAAGACTTGAAATGTATTCTTATATAGATTTCTACAATGTAGAAGTTTGCAATTTACGTTTACAATTAAATATACAGACTATGAGCAATATAATTTGTCAGTTCCTTTAATTCACTATCATTAATACACGAACTAAAATTCAAATATTGAAGATTTTATTTCATGTCTCAAGCTTTTTGCAGAGAGTTTACGGTTCGTACAACCTAAAGATGAGTAAAATATACCGAAAATTCTAATGAAGTAACTAATAACAATTTGTCTGTGTATTTCAAACATAGACGAGTATTCGATTTAACAATAGGACTCATTAACTGAATAATTTTCTGCGATAGACGTTTGGAAATGCAAAGTGCAATACCGTCTAAAGGTCAAGTCGATTATTGAACTTACTACGGGAACTACACGCATTATTGATGTACAGCCGAGTGTTGGAACAGTTTTTTACTGAACCGTTTGCATGCTTAAAGAAATACGTACATGTACATGCATGTACTACTAGTAGCAGCTTCTCAAGCGTTGAAGGTTTTACGAGTTTGTCTACAATTTCGACACATGAAAGCTGCTTCGAAAGTGTACATATTCCAAGCATATATATACTTAGAGGAGTAATAGCAGGAAATAAATAATGAAAACGCGAACGTGGACAACTAGCATGTATATTTTTTGCATTATAATAACCATTATACATAAATGTTATTACAATATAGAAACATAAACCTTAATATCTCATCCGTTAACATTTTACAACATCGTCAGTATGATACACGTCTCGCAATCGAGATTATTATTACGATTTCTTATGATAAATCCCTCTGCTTATGCCTTGTACGTATTGAATAGTCGTCCACCGGTTGCGGTCGACTAGTTTAACGAAGAGTTGTCCCCTTTTAAAAATAACTTGCCTCGCACATCGCAATGAACATGTTGAAATATTACTATCGCGTCCTTCGTACAATTCGTTTCTCGTATATATTCCTGTTAATTATAAGAATTCGAAATTCCGACCATTATTTAATTGGAAAATGCGTGTAACGCAGAGTCATCGTATGTATGGTCTCAGTGGCCTAATTTTAAAAAGAACAATCGAGAGGTTGATTACAATCTGCTTTCGGTACTCGACGTTGATTACTTACTTCCTAAATAAATACTTTTATCTCTTTACAAACAATCTTGGAATGCAGATTTTAAAACAACGAAATCATCTTTCAAGCGTCGCGAATTGTTTATATAAATAATTAAGGAACAACAGTATTTTTTTATCTTTGCTCGATTCTACTCCTAAAGGAAGACACAAGCGGAAGGAATGAAGCGTGGAAATGAATCACCTCGTAAATTAGAAACAGTAATTGTCTACTTGCACCATTCTTTCTTCATACGTAGTAGTTTTTCTTTTATTATTGATCATTCAATCGCACGTAGACACGCGACTCAATTCACACCGCGATTTGATTGTCGAAGGGGAAATTAATATTCTACGCAATTCTACTTCAATAGAATAACAATCTCCTTCTTGGCTTTTTGGCACACACATTTTGTCTGTCTATAACAGCTTAATCTACTTGCTTGAAAGCTTACCGTTGTACTTCCACGGAAATACTTGGTTTTCCACTCTCTTCTCGCAACATGTCTCTTGACACAGAAACACCATTCTCTTTCTTCGAAAAAGAAGAAAGTTAATCGTCTTTTAGACTCGAGGAAAATAAATTCTAATCACTGCTTTCAATCCTTCACTCTGTTTATAGGAATTGCAAAAAATATTAGGTCGATGCATATATGAAATCTCGTTTAGTTTCCATTTATCATGGATTATCTCATGTCGTGTTATGAATCAAAATGTTCCAAAATCATAGTGTCATTTTCTACAATCAGTTTCATCTGAAATATTATTATGAAAATGATGAAAAGAAGTCAGGACTAAAATTATAAACACAATATAGGACAATAAATGGCAGAGTTTAATTTTTGTTACACGCAGGGTAATAAAATTATTTAATTATTTAGGAATATACGAAACTGATAAATTATTAACAGGAACTATATTTGCTACGTTTGAGGGCAACGACAATTCCGTGTTACATATACACCAACCTAATATTATTAAAATAGTAATTCATTTAAATTGCTAGTGCACCTACGTCACCGTATCGACTGAACATTCATTTGGAACCTCGCACAGGGAGTAGCGTACGGTGCGTCAATGTTATACTTCATCTCTCTATCCTTTACAAATTTATATTTTTCATAATGTACAGATTCGTACCGTTGGAAGAGAAGACTAGCGACAGAATAATCCTCGCGTTAGGCCAAACGATTTAATCGGTACATACGCGCTCGACAGTTTCAAACCTAAGTTAAGCGACTCGATGCCACTTTTCCAATCACGCAAATCGTCCGTGACCCGATCCCGCACGGTTAAAGAATATATACGTACATATCACATCGTCACGGTTCACGAAAACAGTATATTAATCAAATATTAAAATATTTATTAATCATCAGACGAAGCCTAATCAAATGTAATATCAGATACGACGTAGGGGATTGAATTATTAATTTGAAAAATGCTTGTATGATCAGAACCTGGTGGACATCTGTTTAATGCACGTCAGCAGCTTTTTGCAACATTGAGGAATTTGTGAAGAATTAAAACCGGTAGCCGGCCGTGCGCGGAGGAGTCATCAGCCATAAATACTTCCTATAGTGGGCAATTTGCTCTCTCTCTTGCCACGAACGCACGGCACGGCTTGCCACTGGTTCTTATTACTCGCTAATCCACGTTCAAGAACAACCACGAAATTTCGCTCGCGTCCGCAATACTGAACCGGGATCGATTCCAAGTAGAAAAACGGGATTCGCGCTGTCTAGAAAATGCGCGATAGATACGTATGTAACGGCGTGGCTCGATGCTCTATTATACGAAATGCATATGTACTCGATTGTACGTATGTACATACATACTTGATCGCGAAATTATGTCTTGACAATGCCGGCCAAGAAACGCGATTTACTACGTTACTATAGCTGCGTTACTATACGCGTACATAGTTTTAAGTATTAACAATTGTACCCAATTGCAACGCTTCGTTCTCGTTCACACCGACAAAGTAACGGCTCGGGTACTCCGTTCGTCGTCAAAATTGAATTTTCAGTTTTTTCTTTTTTCTTCACGCGAACGAGAAAGGATAAATTTTTGTTCCTGTATCAGTGACCATTTTTGCCTTCCGTGATACATCACTCCTACGAAATATTGGGAAAAAGATCGACGAGCTGGATTGTGCGACGCAAATATATTTCACGAAGCCGCGATAATGTCTCGGTAGAATCAGCCGTTGTCCCTATGTTGAAACTTCGAGAGCTACGCTAGTATTTTACAAATTCAATTTCCTTCGACCCGCGAAGATCGATTGGAGTGAAAGCCGTTCAGAGATAGCGTTCGCAACTAAAGTGAGATAAGCGCTCGCGAATTTTTATGTAGAACGAAAACAGGACGATGTAATTTTTGCAACACGAGAACTGATTTGATAATTACGTTATAAATACTTTCTTATCTTCGATGATGCCTTCTCTTAATTTATATTTAATTAATGCCCGAAGGGGAAACGTTAACGAAAACAATGCTCTCTGAATGTGGCGTTCAATTTCGACACAGGCCGGTACGACCGTTCCGTCTCCTGAGAAGAAGAGTTACGTTTCTTGAGGACGGCTGCCTTTAGAATAATAAGAGAAATAGTGTGTTAGCAAAATTGTTAATTCGGCGTAAAAGACAAGAATTGACGAGATAGAAATTGGTCGAGCGCCGATGGATAAAACGATTCATTAACCCTCATTCTTTTTATTCGTTACGTTATTAATTATCGTTTTAGACTGAGACCGCTATGATACCTCGTAACGTACTAAATAACAATATTTACGCAGAGTATTATCGCCTTAGCATCTAACAATGTTCTCATTCAATATTACAAAGTGCGTGTCGATTACGTCTTAGGTACGCTACCATAAACTTTATCTCGACAAGATAGTATCGTTCTGCACGTGTTTCCATTTAGAGATAAATCGAGCGCTAATCTCAAATAATTCGGGCAGACCCGAATTAATTATCTGTATTAAGAAAGTTGATTTTATTCGAATTTATTTGAATTTAGCGAAACGTGTATTCGCGTCAATATCAATTATTAATTAATTCCTCATCGGTATCGTTTACATCAGTGATTCTCAATCTTTTTCTAGTCATGGAACACTTCTGATAATTTAAGAATTTGACGAAACACTAAAAATAAGATTAAAAGAATTTTATTTGGTTTATTGAATTTTGTACCTATAATGTATTTTGTAAAATTAATACAGGATAATAATTTTCAATGAAAAATAAAATGAAAATACAAAGAAAATATTTATTTAATGATAAAGATTTAATTCAAAGATTTTCATTACGAGTTTACGACTCGCGTCACAGTGGGTGAGAATCACTGGTTTAGATCCATCGTTTCGACGATTAATTAGTCATTACTATTAAACGGTGGCGAAAATTCTGTCCGCGACCGGTGATTCCGGATAAAGAGCGACAGTTCGTCTATTTTACATCCCGTTAAATTATTATTTCTAAAAGGCGAGGTCCCAGAAACTACAGCGTTATAATATTTAAACGACGAGACCCTAATTAATTGCCAATGAGACAGAACGTCCTTTGACCGCGGCTAGATTTGAAACAGAGATGAGAGGATGGAGACGTTTTTCCCGAGGACTATAATTGCGATGAAGCATGTCTCTTCACATTGGTACGTACTACCTAGCCGGCACTGATATGCATCTTACGTGGACAAAATATTTCGTTCAGACCGACACAAGCGAAACTAAATGATCCCAAGTATATAACAATGGCTCGACTTCTTCCTTAAGGCGATATCATTTTACGCGATCCTCTAATCAGCGTCCGTTAATGACAGTTTTAAAAACAATTGACAATAGCGATTATTCTGGCTACTTATCTAACGATCAATGCTTCGTTATAAATATTTCAATCCGAAAGATCGTTTTGCTCCTCCTTGGGAAAAAGGAACCTTGCTATTACATAATTATTTTTTATATCGACCTCCTTCAAACCGGAAGACTTATAAAAACATTATTCTATATTAATTAAGTACAATTTTAATTAATAACGTGACGTTCAAATTATTTCCTGATTGCAAGTTACGAATAAAGAGAAAATTGATTCAAGCTACAAAAAAGTCGGTGTGCTAATTTTGTTAGTTTTATTCTATTTCAGAGACATCGACGATTCTGATTTCTTTTTCCGACAAGGACGTAAATCGAGTTTCGCGAAATTCATTTAAATATTCCTCTTCGTTGTCGATATTATACGGTTTGCGCGCGATCGATCCTCGAATCCTATTGTACGTATAAATTTGTCACGCGGAACGAGCCACTGCGAAATCCTTTTAACCGGAATAAAATTTTCGCGCATCGAACGAGCGTATAACACGATTTCGCATCTTAACAAGGCTCACACGGCCGACCGTTTGCCGCGCCAATAACAATTAACGAGCTAACTAACAAGAGCGGCGATACGAATCGCCGCGGGTAAACTTTTTCTCGTCGAATCTCGCCGCTGGCCGTCCTCGACTCGCGAGAGACTTCGTTAAATCCGACACCTCCCCGGGACGCGTGTCCCTCGAACCGGGTAGTCCAATTATAAAAAGAAAAATAAAATCAGACGAGAACGTACCTTCGGAACAATGGGATGATAAAATTCTATGTACGTCGATTCCGCGTTGCCACGGACCTAGTTCGAAGTTCGCACTGTCGGCGGGGTCGACAAATTAACCGTGCGCCACGACGACATTGACAAATTAAACGACCACTTCGCTCCGCTATCGTTTAAAGTCGTCTCGGATAAAATGCAGTCGTAATAAAAGTCCGCCGCTTCCAGGGAACGGCTTCCCCGGCCCTGCCGCTCCGAGTTGTCGCACTCATTATCCCTTATTTTTCTCAGTTTGCCGGACTTCTTCCGAAGGCGCATCAAAACAGGCCGTTCTTGCCGCCTCGGGACGTCTTCTTTTAGGGAGCCGTCGTCGAGTTCTCGATTATGATCATTCTGTTCAGGGAGTTTAACAGTTCCTCGTTCTCCCTGCGCACTGGAATCGATAAAATTTTTATAAATTAATCGTCGCGTCTGTAGAACAGCATCTCATTGATAATGAAAACAAAAGCATGCATCTATTTAAAAAATCGATACTGTTGCCACTCTGAGTTTTAAATAATTTCTTGGCATAGACATTTCATCCTATAAATCAACTGTTTATGTTTACGTGTATTTTATCAATGTATAAGTTTTGAAGAATTAATGGAAAAAGAGATTGAAATTGTTTATTGCTTCCAACAATAATTTTGATATTTAGATAAAATTGAAATGAACAATGAAATCATTGCTTGGAAATTTCGTTCAGAGAGTATTTCAAGATCATAGTTTACATCCAGATCGATGTTCCGCGAGCTCCTTGGAGCCCATGACTGGGCTGAGAAATGAGCTGTGAGTCAACGTGACCACCACCACGAGGACGGAGGCCGTCAACAGGAAGAGAAACGTTCCCACAACAATCATAGCGATTCTTCGATGACGTCTAGCCTGCTCCGAATTCTCAACATCTTCCACGATCTTCTGTGCCTCCTTCATCTCGAGCTTTAAAGGCCGCACGGAATCCTTTCTACAAGCAGTGCTCGTTCTTCTTGATCTCGACCTCCTACTCGAGCTACTTCTCCTACCATTACCTGGACATTTTTTTCATTTCTTCATTTAGGTAATGGCACCAAACTGTCCTAATTTATTTTCCAATGCTTTTAAGACATTCAGGTATTAAATAAAATTCTAACATTAAGGTTGTATGAAGTCTCGGACAAAAATTTAAGAAATAAAAAGCTCTGTACAATATTTGAAAAGTTTTATAAAATTGTTCAACGTATAGAAAATTTTTAATGCTTAATATTCAAATATTTAGTTTTGCCATTTCTTTATTGTTTAAGTATATAGCCCATACAACCTTAAGTGAAAAAATCACGAAACCGGTCGAAGTCGAGCCTAATTCGAATAGACAGATACAACGAAAGTATCGTCGGTCATAAAATGTTTGAACGCGGACAAGCGGAAGGGAGGAAAACGTTGGACAATGATCGACGGCAATTATTTTTCCCTTCTCACGGGATCTACTCTCGCGTGAAACGTCAGTGCGCGCCGCATCGATCAACCAGAGCTGATACGATTAATCGCAGCAACCCCGAAATCGTTATTACGTCACTAGACGAGAACGGCAACAACTAGGGAACCTGCGTTTCTCATCGATCGAAAAGTCTGATGACCCAATTGTCTCCTACCTAACGGTGTTGGCCTGCTGCAGCTGTTCGTCCTCGAGCGAGCGGATTGCGCGCTGGAACGACGCCGGTTCGAGCGCCGATCGTGCTCGGCATTGTTTCGTACCTGTTTCGCGTTACCGAACTTTCTGCGGTTCGAGCCGTCGGCGGTCGCCGCGAGCTCGTCAGGGCTCGACAAGCAGAGCGCTGAATGATCGTCCGACCCGGTTACGTCGACGTTCGACGGGAACAGCGGCGTTCTGCGATCCTCTGTGCCGCATGACGCGTAACAATTGTCCGATCGTTGGCAGAAATCCGGCAACGGTTCGTGGGACATTTCGAACGACGCGTCGTCCACGTAAAAGATTATTCGCTCCGACGACGAGCCGGATAATCGCCGATTCGGATCGCTCTCCAGCGCAGCTTTCATAGACTGAGTCGACATTCCCGACGGATTCCTATTTCTGTTCAACATTCCTTTCTCTACTGAAGTAGTTTTATTTAAAATTCATTGAAAGATATGTTTGAAATATTCGTTGCATCGTGCGGGAGTCGCAACGAAATTCATACATAATTTCGTTTTTATACACAGTTATTGTAATGGGGTTCCTAGCTTAAATAATGTCCCGAGCTTTGATGAAATTCTAAAGTATTTATGGGATTCGTAAACATTCTGACGGGACAAACGAGATGCAAATTTTATCTGGAGCATCCAAAACGATTTTCTCATCTATCAATTTTAAATGAGTCTCGTTGCTGATAACATCCAACGGGATGCTTTATAATTGCTCCTCGGAAAGCTCTCGCGGAACGAAATGGTTTTGTTCATTTAGTTACACCAGTATAATTTACCTCTACTTTAAAAAAAATAATGACATTGTATTCTCAGGTATGCAACGAGTAAGCAGAAGTTCTTCGGTTTCGTAGAATTAAGTGGAAATGTTCTAAGTGCATACAGTTTCGGAAGCAATAACAGTTACTGTTATTAATTACTCATGATCAAACCTGACGCACTGCAGAATCCAGATACGCTATATAAACAAACTGCATACACCCAGGAAGTTAACCGTTTGCGTAGCTAAGATTTGCATATTGCATTCATCGCGCATTACTTTTCAGTCGACACTTGCTCCAAATTCGTAGTCATACATAATAAACGTCTGAATCTTTTGTTATTTTTTTTTAAATAATTTTATATGAAATCTTCAGTAAATAGAAATTATTAATAATTTTTTATAAAATGATTTCTCAATATGTCATTTTATCAAAATGCAATTTATCCAGTAATTTGACAGTGCTTCAGCGTTCAATGATTTCTTCTGTGTCACGAGCATCCTTCATTTTTCGAGTAGCTCAAGCTCACTTTTCCCCTGCGTTCTTCTTTTTTTTTGCGAGAAGTTCCCCGACTCGAATGCATAAAAGATATTTAGCTTGTCGCGAAAGGAGGGACTCTTTAAACGGCGACACGAAAGTGGAAGAAGACGAAGACGAACGAAAGTATGTATAACTAAGGACAACTAAATACGTCGTATCTATGTGGTGGACGTCACCCTTGAGTTTATTGCGACGTGTATTTTTAGCAGCGGATCTAGCAAGCAAGCCACCTATCCGCTTTCCACGTTTCTTTCCTCCCCACGACCCTTGCGCGTTGCATGCACACACCGGCCGCCTCGGTGCTTGTGGGCCGCGTCCGTGTCCGTTACCCGTCGCTCGTACGTATATAAGATAGCCACGGACATGTCGATAAACATAGCCGGCCAAATATTTAGAAAATCCACGCCTACAGGGCAACCGAGTTTGAATTATTCGGATATTCGCGCGGCGGACGACGGAATCTGAAAAATACCCACGGTCCTAGTTTCCCCCTCGATGGATGCCGACGATCGACGTTTACCGTCGCGCCACGAAAGTGTTCACCAAAAGTTGAAAACTTTTCGACACTTTATCGGTCTCCATACTACTATTCTGTCGACTTCTTTTTAAAAACAAGAGACGAGTTATACGCTTGAGAATTTCTTCCAAAAGACACCTAAAAACGTTCAACTTTTCCTGCGATATAAAATTCTTCTTTACTTATCGTGAGCTACAGAAATTGTGAAACTAACATTTTTGTCTATTTCTTTTTCGATGAAACGTAATCGCATATTGGGAAATATGAAAGTGTCATGAATTTGTTGAAGCTACATTGATTTATCATCTTCTAAGTCATGCAAACGTGTGTGTAACTCGAAATCGATTCTGTAAACATAATTTATGATTATTATCGCAACTACCCTTACAACAGAATGCAAGCACGTTCCTATAAAAAAAAAATGTGTACGAAATTTCGACTTTTGATTCTCCTCGTTATTTCATTATATTTATTATATATTAATTTTCCTTCTTAAAAATTCGCATAATCTTTTCCTCTTAAAATAGAATTATCCTTCTTTTAACTACTTAATTTCACTTCTATAAAAAGATTTGCGAAACCGTCTTCCAACAATAATAGCGGGGTACAGTTTAAACGAAGTTAAACAATGTTGAATTGTAATTAGAAAAGAAAACTTCGAAAGGTGAAAAGTTATTACGCTATTTTTAAGAGTATCCTACTCCATAATTAACACTCTTGTCGCTTGTTAAACACCGTTGTATCAAACTACAAAGTTTTCCGTATACTGCACGCATACGTATAAACTTAATAATACGTCTGGAAAAATTCGTAAGATTCGACTGAATACGCAAAATACAGACTGTGCAAGTAGGCAAATAAAATTTTCACACGACTTGTTTGGTCTGTTACGTTAGTACCGCGATTCACTTGGGAAATTGTGCTGGCCGGGAGAGGAAACTAGCATTAATTGATTCACTCTCTCGGTTTCGAACTTTCTGACGTGCATAGAAACCCATTCTACGTTTCCCCTTTATCCGGGATTAAATGGAACACTTTCAGACGTTTTAGTAGATACTAACTATTAGTGTTAATTTCTCACATACGTAAAATTATACAATTTAAATTTATCTCGACAGAGACTGATTTATACCAAATTATGATAGATACCAATTCGTTGAAATGAGATTTATTAATAAATAATAACTGCCTAATTAATTATTGTAATTGCAAGGAAATATAAATCTAGCTTCTTTTAAATGATAGATACCAATTCGTTGAAATGAGATTTATTAATAAATAATAACTGCCTAATTAATTATTGTAATTGCAAGGAAATATAAATCTAGCTTCTTTTAAAGATAAGCATTTTCAAAAATTGCATATGCACATAGGCAATGTGTTTAGTTCCTGTAAATCCGTTAAACAACTGGCTTATTGCATACGTAGTGGGCAGAGGATGACCATAAGTTTGTTGGTCGCATCGGCGTTGGTAAGAACCCGAAATTGCTCGCCAGTTTGGTATATTGCTCTGTGATTCCTCTTATTACGGAACATCAGATATTGATAATCGATAGTACTCGTGTACTCGTTACCAATATTAGCGTATACCAGCTCTCGCTGTTGTAAGGACATTCGCATAATAATGTCAACGGTGTTCGAGAAACGGGGACAACCGAGCGACAAGCGTAACAGGTGATATAACCGCATGAAATGCAACCGGAAATGCACAGACTGTACCCCGTGTGATGGGGCGCATCTGTGCAACTTATAATAAAACCAAATGCGACGCTGCATTTCTGAATTTCCTCGCACGCTACCTTTAGAAAGACGATTCTTTCTCTCATTTTTTATGAAATCCAATTCGGACGTTTATTGCCATTTGTTCATGAAAATAATTTATCGAAATTCATAACAGAAAGCAATTTATATAAAACTCTTTGCTCTATTCCTTAATTCATGTAGCTTGCATTTTGGTAAAAAGATTGGAACATAAAATTTACAGAACATGATTTCTCCCTTTAAGTGACACAACTGGAATACTCTTTGTGATTTAATTACACAAATAGTTTATCAAATTTGATAAGAGAATGCAATTTCGATAAAAATCGTTCATGCATTTACTAGAAACTTGTTATTGAATAGTATAATTCAAATAGCTTACATTTAGGCAAATGGATTGGAACATAAGTTTGCTTATTGCTTCGGCACATGATTTATGCTCTCATTCCTCCTTCAAGTAATACAACTCGGACATTCCTTATTACTTGCATGTTCACACACAAATAATTTAGTTCTACATTTATCAGACAAGGCAGTGCTTTTCTAAATTTTGATTTTTTAAAAAGAATTCTTTCTTTTATTTTTAAAACATTCATTCTATATAATTTAAATAGCAGAGCTTGCGTTTAGATAAGTAGATTGTAACATGCGTTCTGGTCATTCCTTTTACCGATGAAAAGTAATTTACGATCAGTTCAGATATTTGATAAAACTTCGTTCTAATAAGCAAACAGCGATGTGAACATAACGGTAGCTGGGAAACTTCGGTGAGTCGAGCTCTGAACATAAAATTTCGTTCCAATAAATGGTCTTCGGATAATCCATCGGTATCTATATTAAATCCGGTGTTGTTGTTCAGAATCCATGAGATTAAAGTTTTACAAGAATTTAATCATCTTGTTTATCCGAAGACGAATGTATACGATAAAAGAAACAAAGTACCAGGAGTAACAGCGCAAACTATACAGTCTCGCATTAAGAAATGAAAAATCTGCTTAACTGCTTTGTGACCTGCATCGCGGGCAGAAAAGAACGCGCAGGATTGTCGAGACGGTGGTAACGCGCGATCGTCCACTAAATGAAGAAGAATGATACCGCGGGCCATAAAAACGTCGAGCCTTTAAACCGGAGTATTTTTAAGATTTCGCTCGGGACACCGGCAGGCTTGCCGCGGCTTTCCACGAAGTTGTAAAATTCTCGGCACGTTCTCTTACACGAACGTTCGCGTCGCGATGTGCGTCAACGGGCGGAGACGGGTGTAACGCCGGACTATTCGGGTAAATTGAAGAGGAAACTCGACAATCCCGATTGGACTCGAAAATGGTAGCGATGATGTTGATCCCGGTTATACGCGACGCGTGCACGCTTGTGTACGCCTAAGCGCACGTACGTACATGCATGTATGCACGCGCGTATGTATGGACGTTCTTTAATGACGCACATCAAAATCGAACGATGGAGAAATCAGACGGCTGCAGGCTTGACCTGATTCCAACGAGAGTGCATAATGATGTAAACGTATCGCGGAAAAGTGTCGAACCGTGCGCGAGGGGTGTTATGCGAGCGATTTCGCAGGTGCAACCTACACCCCTCGATCGATTTGAAAAGAAAGCAAATCGCGTTCTATTACTGTTTTCATCCCGCATTCCCTACGCTCTCCATTTAAATTATACGCGTACCGTTTCGCTTAAATCAGCGAGCGTGGAATCAACAAATAAACCGTGGAACATCGCATATCTCATATAGAAGAATAGCTTAGCTAAGAAAACATCACCACGCTGTCGTATCCGTTTTAGGGTATTTTTCCTACAACATTTATAAAGCTTCCTATTCGTGATTAATGTCTTGTTTTGTTCGAGAGTATCGTAAAATATGTATTCCCTAGGGGGGAGAGTCGTGAATTTGAACAATTGTAAGGAGGAACACGGATGCCTGGATCTCAAAGCAATTCTTCGATAATCAACTTTGGCATGCTCATAAAGCAATTTCCAAACAGACGAAGAGCTGTGCAATTTTTAATATCCATCATCAGAAAGCGTATCGATCCAGCGAATAGCTGCTCAGGCGAAAACGAACAATCGTCCCTACCCACAATGCAAGTAAACCACTTAACTAAATTGAAACCAACACTAAATCATGCGTAATAATGAATGCAAGTATAATCTTTATAATTGTTGATCAGATAGTGATTTCATAGATTTATTTCTTCCTTATGAAACAGTTGAATGAGATGAAGTGTGTTGGGACTTAAATTACTTCTGCACTTCGAAATTTGGAGTTTTCTTTAAAAATGAAGTATCTCAAACATATCTTTCCGAGAAGGAGATATAATAAATGTCCCACTGGTTTTACTTTTCTATAATTTTGTATGTAATCTTAAACCAGTGAGTAGAAATTGTAAAATCTGGACATTTATTACATTCTAATATAGAAATAGACTTACTAAGCAATGCGAGCGTACGAAACTGAATCCAATCGTACTAATTACTGTTTGAAGTGTCACGTTCCAAAAAGTGTTTCCGTGAGTTAGAAATTATTGTGCGGAGCCTATCCTTGACATCGATTTCTTCTCTCTGACAATTAAGTTTAGCAAACGGTGCACGAGCTTCGCATCTTTAAAGATTCCGACGTATTAGAAGCACATGACCGTCGATAAGCCACACGTAATTATAAGCGAGACTATCGTCGATTAAAAATAGAACATCTGGCATAAACGGAGATGTTTGTCTGAAAGGAGGCACTTGGAACACTCGGACGAAGCCACTGGCCACGCGGTTGTTCCGCGGGGAGCGAAGCTATCGCGAGCGATCCTCAGCGGGGCGAGGAGCGCGTGAAAGACGAAGGGTGTCCGCGTGAAATCACGAAACGAGATTGTTCACGGGTGGTTCCTCGACGGAAATCCGACGACCGACTGGAGGAGTCGCAGACGTGCGCCTTTAATTTAGAGGCGCGGAGCGCCCTCGAGCACTCACACGTTCCTGTTCGAGGTGTTGGTATCTCTCCCTGTGTGTGCACGTGTATATCACGGCCCGGTACACAAATCCGCGGCGAAAGTGCTTTTTCGCGCTGGATATTGTGCCAGGAGTAGATAGGTGTGCGCTGAGTACTCGACCGGCTGCCACACTATCCCGCCGGTTAATTGGCCGAAACCTGTGGCGACGCTTTCGACGCGGGTATCTACAATATTTGAAAGAATCGCCAGACTGCCATTAAAATCCTCAAGTTCTGTCGACGACGTTCGTGAAGTGTTCCCCAATATTCATGAATCTATGATGCTATGCTATTCATACAACTGTTGGCTTTATTTTAATACAAGTATATTCTTAACCAGCAACGGGTAACAAGGTCTCATATTTTTCTAAAGGAGGTCCTACAATTTTAATGAATGTATACCCAAAAAACTCAGCCGACGTGGGAAATAATTAACTAATTACCAGAGGAATAACGATGAAAATAATATTTCGGTTTCAGTAACGTCTTACACTCGGTTCAGTCGAACGATTTGTAACTTCGAATATAATCAGGCGGCAGATAAACAGGATTGTATTTGTTCCCCGAGTGGAGAAGGTATTGATACTGTGAAACATTAACATGGCATGATTGCAACCGGTGGTAACGTCTCTTGGGGTTGCTTGCATATTTCATCGTTAATTCAAAGAACTATCTCCGGGGGCGTGCCCTAAATATCCTAGATAGTAAACTAGCTGAAGGTATAGATCAAAAGATGGAGTGGGCCACGTAAGTGTTGCGCATACTTTCGTATTAAATATACACCGCAAGTTACATAGTTATGACACTAGACATACGTAACGTACCCTGACGGTGTTCAGAAAATTGCCATACGTTAACAAAGTTTTAATAATAAGATCATTTTTATCGCATCAGACAACAGTATCGATTCTGGATTAATCCTCTTAGAAATAAACCTAATTATATGTAAATAAAAATAGCAGGAATTTCTGTTTTTATTTTACGCCACTCACCCATGTCGTCGATGATCGGCGCCATCCTGAGCGTGACTCCGACTAGCAGCAAGGACATCATGAGAAGGATGCAAGCGGTCACGACGATGGTCCAACGCGCGCGCGGCGGAAGCTCGTCGGGATCAACGAGTTCTTCTTGGGGCACAGTGGTCTCAACTCTGCGCCGTTTCCGTTTCCTCTTTCTGCGGGGTCGATGGTACTTCTCCCGAGGTGCCTCGATCTTCTCGGTGCCGCTAAAAATTTCCTCCTCTTCCAGCTCGTCCGCTACGTTCAACGCCACGTAATCGTCGTCATCGTAGTGGATCTTTCTGTAATCATACAATATGTTTCCCATGATCACAATCCACAATCAAATGTAGTTTATAATTGATTCTAAAATTATGGAATAATATTGATAGATAATTCTGTTACACAATTAATGTAATTGTTTCGCGCGATCAAATCCGTGTTGGGAAATTAATGAGCGTTAATTCAGTTTCGATATCCAATTGATAATTAATTAAAAGGAAATGTCTAATTTCGCACGGACCTAAGCTGTCTGGTCCAGAAAAGCGTCAGTCGACTTTACTTGATAAAACATCCAACCGATGTGTTCGTAATATGGGTCATGCTAAACGAAATTAAACGAAGAAGAATGCACCCGGGCGACCTGGATTACACATGTACATGTCTTAGTATCTCTTGCATTCTTAAGCGGAGAAATGTCAATAGCAAAACTGAAATTCTTTGCATCTAAGAAAAAAGTGGACAGTTGCAGAATACATGGAAATATTTATTGTAATAATATTGAATATCCTATGAATTACGTTTGTGTATCTAAGCCGATGTGAACTTCCCTTGCAAGTAGTATAGTCCGATCATAAGTCAGACTGATACATTTATTGGATAACGGCGTTCCATTTTCATCTCGAGTTATTATGAAGGGCGTGCGAAATATAATTTAGCTCATCAAATCACGAAATCTACCGTATTTTCACGTACTCACAGTTTGAAACTCATGAATAACGCAGAACCTTCTCATGTATTCAACGCGAGCTGCATGGAGAAATACGGAACACGCAACTGTGCGTTTTGAGCCGAGATGAAGTTATGATAAAGCGAATAGTTAGAAGCGATATTTTCATCATTTCCGATTATTCGATTAGCTAACAGCGTTCGCCGAGTTTCATTACACGTTCGAGTACGCTTCGAAACGCGAGATCGTATTGAATATCTAACGAAGAGACCAGCTACGTGCAGCCACGCACCGAAATGACCCAATTTCGTAGTCGCATTGCACTTACGTGAAAATAGTTATATTTCAAACAGGAATGTCGTGTCAAATGTTGTTTGTGTATAAACAGAAATGTCCAGTGGTCGAGTTTCAATCTTGTATCACGTAAATTACGAGCCACTTCGCTAATTAGTTGTTAAATATCAATGTCCTCAATTTCCGAAATTCCGATACTTAACCAGATACTAATCAAACTTTCCTCTAAATAAAAATCCAATGAACGAGCATTGCAATTTTGCCATTGCTATTTATTGAGTTCATTTGAAATTATGAATAAATAACGAGCGCTGCACGGTGCGAACAGAAGCATTTGACAAAGCAATACACGCGAGTGATTTCCAATAAAATGTAATAAAGTATCGACTGTTACTTACAAATGAGCGGCACTTTGGGGAAAGTAAGAGGCACTTCGGTGCAACTGCGGATATTCGCAAGAATCGCTGAGAGTCTCTCGAGTCCTTTCGAAGTTTATCAACGCGAGGTCCTGGTCGCCGTCCATTCCGAAAAGCTCTAGGCGTGAATCAAGACCGGTATGAACGTCTTGGACTATACCGTTCAGGATGTTCGGGCTCCTCGAATGTTTGCGCTTCTTCTTCGGGCGTCGCGGACTTTCTGACGCCCTTCGCCTCGTCTTACCTGTAACATACAAACCACGGTTCTTTTTACCAATTCTTCAATTATTTTACAGAGGCGAATCAATTGTTAATTAAGCATAAAGTGTGTTGCTTATTTTGTATTAATAATATTATTACATTTATTTATTATAGGATATAATTAGGTCTCCTTGAGCCTAACTGCTTAAGGCTTTATTCACGGTTAGTATTATTAGATGGAACTTATTTTTATTGTTTTTGTCTCTTCTTTTCTTATACATAGGGTGTCCCATGTAACACTCTTTACTATTTTTCAAGTATTTGCGATAATCTGAGAAAAAAATATTTTCAACAAAAGTTGATCAATTTTCGATTGACTATACAATATCGATTGGATAATTATTATTAATATTTCGAGCAAGCTGGTTTTAAAACGTATTTAAGAATTTAAGATGGAAATTGTTAACGGCACTTACCGTGATGGGTATTGTGGTGACGGTGATCCGCGGTTTCACTGATGAGCTCGTTGCACGGCGCCGAGTCGTGCCTCTTGCGGTGATGGTGGTGATGATGCTGATGATGATGATGATGGTGGTAGTGATGGTGATGTTTCCTTCGGCGCTGGTGGTTCAGCGAAGAAGAGGCAGTCGAAGTGGAAGTTAGCCTAAGCCGGCGCGGACTAGCCGGCGCGCTACCGGAACGCTTGCTCATGGCCGAGGAGGCTTTGATCGCCTCCACCTTCGTTTCCACCAGAGCGGTGAGGACGGCTTCGAGACGTGCCACCTTCATTCCGCTGCCAGCATCGTCCGTCGAAACAGCCTTGTCAGCGACATCGGAGGTCGACGGAGTCACCGTCATCGCTTCACCGGCCGTTCTCACATTACGTTCACCACCCCCGACGGTGTCCGCTTGGCGGTGAGAGGCGTCGTCGCCGCGGGACTCCTCCAGTGCCCGCTGATCGGACGGTCACAAAACGTCACCCTTCGCTCGTCGTCGTCCCCCTTCTTGCTCGCTGCTATCCGCTGAAAGCTCTCGGATAAATCGGGACAACATCAAGGAGGTTGATTATCTTCCGTCACTGTGCAGCCCCGTTTCCATTGTTCACACAGCGGAGACTCGTGCTGCGACACTATGCGACATACCCAGCGCACTCGTAGAATCTTCTACGCCAACTGCATTTCCCGTCTCGTTTCTTTCATTTGAAAATGTGAATATCGCCTTCCGACAATTACCAGAGCAGTCGATGGGGTTCGACGGAGAGGTTGTTAGACCTTTATTCAAGCTTCCTTCTTTTTGTACCGTTCAGTAACCTCTTGCGACGAATGCTTTCGCTTCCTTTCGAACGGCCTTTTAATAGGATTATTTCTTTATTCTCGACGATTCTTCGAGTTCGAATTGAAAATAAATAACCGTGCTCTCGTTGCGACCATCCAATAAGGAAAAAACACGAAATCAGGATTATCCTTTTTTTAGAGTTCCTCTTCGTTTCGGTGCAAGCGTCCTGGTTTATTGCCTCGATCTCAGACCGAGGATGCCTTCACGCTCGAGTGAAAAGGTCGTGCTCGGCGAGCCCTTAAATTACTCCTGGATCGATCCGCGATCCGGGAGCACGTTATCTAACGACAGTTATCAAAAAGATCGTACTGTTCAGTAAGTCGTCCAATTCGCATTTCAGTGAAGATCGAAAGATCGGTGCTGTCTCCATCGCATACAAGGTACGACGTTGTCCTCGCTTTATCCCAGGTCGATCGTTCCGATGAGAATGAAATGAATAATCGTACGTGTTGCGATTTGAAACAGTCCTGAAACTTCGTCGAGCCACTGGAGCGAGCTCGTCGCTCGTTCGCTTACCGTTCGATTCCGACCGATTTAGCGCGAATTAGTGCCGTTGCGATCGGTTCACGGGCGATTAGAAGCGATGAAACGGCCCGATAGCATCCAATCCGTAATAAACCGTCGACGATTACACCGCGATCGCGTGAAAAGCGGTGCCGATTATTCGCCCCCGCGGCTGAGAAAGCCACTCGATCATTCTCCGTGGGAAATCGCCTTTGACGTTCCCCCGTTTCGCGACTGCGGAATCGCGGGATCAAACGGAGCCGATGCCGTGAAGTCGTACGGGATATCAAGCTACGACGGATTCGACTGCGGTGACATCGTTTCGGAATGAAAGGAAGGCACCGACAAAAGTGCCGCGGCAACTTGTTCTCGCGTGGCCAACTTCCCTCGACCCTTCCTGGTCTCTCGCGTACCTAATGACCTCGTTCCTTTGTGAAGCGCGAAACGAAGGTTGGTCGAAACACGTAGCCATGTTAGGCGGTGTGCCGTGCCGTGCTCGCTCCGAAACGCCAGCCCCGTTGTTTGTGTCAAGTGTGTTTTTCGAAACCGAAGAAGAAAGGGTGACGGGGTGGCAAAGGGGAGCAAAGGTCGAGGGAAGCCACCGGTAATTATTACCGCTGGGTACTCGTGATGGAAATCAGTTCAACGGTAATTAGTCCACGTTCACATGTTACTCCCGCAAGTACTTTGCCGTTCCGCTAATTACGAGAGTTCTAATCAATCACTTGAGATCGGTACAATATGTTAACACAGGTTGACGAGATGTTTCTTCTTGTGTCCCGTACTTCGTCTGATTCAGACTAACGGCCGGTGAAATGTCCGTCGGCGGGTATTTGCGTTCAACGTTTGATCGAGTTTAAAAATATTCTGTTCGTCAGCTGAAATGCGCCGAGTCGATTCATTTTTTTATTACAAGAGGACGCGTAATTTTAGTTGCCTCCTTCTTCATCGCATTGCGATCTTTTTATATCGTGTAGAATAGCAATCTGTCTAGCGTGAATCGTCGAGTTTATTATTTTCCTCCCGGTGACGATGAATGAAACAGGAGTAACGCCGAGGGAGAATGAAAACGAGCAACGGTGGCTGCCTGGAAAAGTCGAGCGCGAAAGAGCGCACCTCGTTTGACCTATTAAAGTCGGTAAACATTAATGTGTCTTTTTATATAAACGGCTGCAAACATCGCTGGCGTCGAGCGAACCACGACGAGGTCGTTAGATATCCTCGGGGGCAGTGGATGCCTTCTTAACACGCGGCTCGTTTCGAACTGCGATTTTTCAACGAGAAACGAGGCATGAATCCTGCAATCCTCCGCGGGATGAATATTTAATTCTTCAATTGCTGCCGCCCCGCTTTCATCGGTTCAAAATCTCCTCATCAATCATTCAAAATTCCATCTGCTATAGCTTCCAGGCAGGGCAGAAGATGAACCCGCAACGTGCTTTAGCGCGACTGCTTTAGATCGTTGAAATTCGAAACCGACGACGCCCGCCGTGCCGTAACCCGGGGACACGCGAGGCACGCAGCATCCACCGTACGGTTTCTCGCGAGGGTCGCGTCCCTTCTCAGGGACGCTCGCGGGACACGAGCAACGCGGCTCCCGGCGGATCCATAGCTCTCGCGGTGGCGTTACGAACGGACGGACGACCGTTAAGACGCTATCTCGGTTCGGTGCATCGCGGCGGGCCCGGCTCTCGCGATTTTGGTGTGACGCGTACCCTAAACGGGGACAGGGCTACACGTTACATGGGGGCACGGCACACGTCAGCACGTCACGTCACGTCACCTCGAGCACGTTGCCACTACGCTGGCTCGCACGTACCTCCGTAATAGTACGATGTGTGTCGACGCGGTGGCGCGGTCTACGCACATCCCCGGCCGAAGGATTTGCGTGCGCGAGTGGTAGCGATCGCTCGAATACTGGGAAGCGTCGTTCAGCGGACAGGGTTGGTGGGCAGGTGGCCGGTCTGGCAGGGATGCGTGCAGCCCTACCCCTTCCTACGGCAACACCGCCGCCACTTCCTCTCTCGCCAGCTTTACCACGCGGCACCCCTTGCCCCCTCGACCGCCACCCTCCACGGCACCCACGCCTCCGGCGACCTCCCTTAGTCGCCTATGGTGCGGTCACCCTTGCCTGCGATTTAGGTATCTCACGACGCTGTCTTCCACCATCTATTTCACATCTTCTACATTCTCTCGTTTTCACCTACCCCTTTTCAAACCTACCCCTCGGTGCTATGCGTCACTGCCCGTAAATCACTGGGATGAACGAAAGTGAATTTTATTATGCAGTAAGAATAACGAGAGAAACTTAAAGAACACGTTTCAGTAGTAAAACTCAATGATAAGCCGCGCAAGTTTAATATTGCTTAAACGACGAGTTACGGCACCGTAATTTGCGAGTCACCGACTTCTCGGTTATGAGACTTGTTTTATTTACGCAGTAAACTCGTATCTTCCATTAATTTCGAGAAAACAGAAATACTGGTACATATGATTAGAATAATTGTGCACAGAGAAGTTCATTCTTTGCAAATGAAGTAACGTCTGTTGCGAATAAAAAATATGCATAAAGCGAATTAAAATGAATGGAACACATGGGATGAAAGCTCGGTATCAAAGTTTTGTCTTCATAAATTTTAATATAGCCGACAGATCGGCATCTCGCCACGCGCAGCATCATACTTACTTTTCCAATATTCTCGATGTTGCCCCACTGTTTCGAAACGAATATTGCATGAATAAATAATGGGTATCCTATCTGTCCCTTATAACAGAGGAGATAACAGCATTGTATAAATATTCAGAAATGAAATTACAATATCGTTAATAGCGAACGCGCCGGTTACATTATTTTCAGTATCAATTTGATCGAGAGGAGATTTATTCATTCCGGCGCACTCCTCGTTTTTGATTGCCGTAACTGAAAACGCTGGCAACGTATCGTAACGGAACAACGTTCCCGTATTTCAGTTTTGATCCGTCAAACGCGAGGCGAAATCGTTTTACGTTATTTTTAACCGCATCATCCCGTCTCGCAGGTATATCCGAATACGTGGTTTACGTTATAAAAGAATTGCCGCAGCGATCGTTAAACCAGCCGAATGAAATCCCTCCGACGAATTTACGACGCTCGCTTCCGTCGTTTGCTAAAAACAGCGAGAAATAATTTTATCGATCGACTTCTAGCTTGTTGAATGGCACCCATGAAAAACAGATTCCCTGCAGCGATTTTTAGATGAACCAGACATCAACGTGAAATAACAGTAACAGACTAAAAACATTGACTGAGGAGCGTAATACTGATTTTTATTTCTTATTAGAAACTGAACGAACGCTGCGGAACTCCCATGTCAATTATAATGGATCATTTATGATTGATATGAGAATTCCGGATGGAATCTCATCATCTCAGAAACATGGAATCAATTATAATTGACATTAAAATTCCGAAGTGGCATCAGCTCTTTTTCGAACTTTAATCAATTATTTATAATTACTGAGAAGTACGAATACAAACAGTGGTTTACATGGATATATTGTGGAAAGTCTACTCTATTTTTTCGTTCAAAAATGAACTTCCTCGCTCTCTTAATTTTTCTGTAATATCTCATTTCTTCCGAAGATCATGCACTTTTACAAAAAACTACGTGTTTTTCGAAAACGGTACGCGACAGAGCAATTCTGTTTCCAGATTCGTGTTTGGCATGAGAAGTTCTATAAGAATCACGTGAATGGATATTGCAGAAATTTTATTGTGTTCAACAGTGTTATTAAACGTCAGAAGAGAAAGAGGGTAAGGAAATGGACAACGCCTTCGGCGCTACAATGATTATTGAAAATCGCAAAGGGGGAAGAAAGATTGACAGCATTTCTGGAATGGCGCTTTCTGTGCTATGAAAAGAATCACTGTATAGGTACAACCATCTCTTCTAGATACCATGCAGGCATTTCTCTTTTCCTGTCGGCTGACAAAGGACCGTGTTCAAAAACCGTGTGAAATCTCATCCCAATTGATTCTCTCCGAGCCCTGCACATACGTACATATGTATGTACATACGAGCATGTATATATGCACGGATCACTTATTTCGAATGCTCGCCTTTCATCTTCGAAGAAAAGGAAAACAGAGCGGCACTAGTAGAAAATAAGGATTTTCAACGTGACTTCAATTGTATTATTTAAACATTAACCACCGTCTTTTGCTTTCGATCTTTAAAATCGTCATCATTGTCATCTCGATCGGAGATCTATAAAAACAATGAAGTAATTTTGAATTATATTAAAAAGCAGGTTAATTATCGACTCTGTGTACACGAAAACAAAGCGTACATACACACACGTATATGCGCTCTTTTTGTACCAGCACCTGTGTGTATTTCTTTGAAGCAGCGTTCGTTTTGAGTAAAATAGAAAAAAAAGAGAGAGAAGCGAAAGACTCACTGAGTGCTCGTGTCGTTACGAGAGCTGAGCAAATTGTGAAACCGGAGAATGGCGTTTGTTAGAGTTTGTTAATAGAACGACCCAGTCCGTGATTAGCACTTTCAGTTAGAGATAATACGAGCTTCAATTATTTCAACAATACCCACTTAAATTACATCCATAAAATATGTTTGCAAAAATGTCCAAAACACATAGATATTATCAGCACAATTTACAATTAGACGAAAGGTAAATAGAACTAATGGGAGTACATACTCGCCGGAGAAGTCGACTGGCCTTATAGTCCGCGCGGTTTTTCTCCGGATAGGACGGAGACGCTGGTTTAGGAAAAGATTTATCGTCCGGTTTTCTTAAGTTCACGAACAGAGAAACCACTATGGTGAAAGGCAGACCGAGTACTGGCAATTTCAGCTGTAAAGTCATTTACATATTTCCATTTCCAAGAGAATCTTATCAAGAATGAGAAATAATCGACTATGATTAATTACATTCTTGAAGAAGAAGTGTATACAGTATTGTACGATCACGGTGTAGACAACTGCCATGATCGTAGCGACGACTGTTTGTCCAGTGAGGACGAAAAAGTTTCCGCCTAATACACCACCGGTGAGGAAAGCGTTGTAACCCCAGAAACCAGAATAAATTGAAGCTAACTCTACCCCGAGCATTAAACCTGGAAACACAAAGCGAAAGAAGCATTGAAAAACGCTTTCGAGGTGTGTAGTACATGTTGCGGGTTACGCTCGATAAATTCGAGCTTCGCTGCACAGAGCCGGCATAATACCTGCCAATGAACCGATGATCGCCCCGAAAAGAGCGAAACCAGCCGTTACCGGGGAGAAAAGTAGAATAGCCAAATAGATGACGGAACCGGTAACCGCGTTTTCGATCGCCATCAGCTGCGAGGCGGACATTATAACAGCGCGGAACATCTGAAAACAATTTCTCCTTAATCGAACAAACGTATCTTTTTTTTTTATCAATTGCCAATTGGAGAGAAATGTAACTAATTGCTAATTATGAAAATACATGCTGACGAAAAAGTATGCGGAAGGGAATTGGGAATATTCTGGGAGAGGTGAAACATTTTCAGCGGAATGACGGAATGATCGAATAGTGAAAAGTGGAACGCGAATAGAAAGTTTACCATTCCCCAGTTAACGTGCACCCCCGTCGCATTTCCCCCGATGATACTGACATCGGCTGTCGTCGCATCACTTGTTGCATTGTGCTGAAAACAATGAGAATGCACTATATAAACAACTGATCGCGTATATGCCGGCGACACACATAACGCGTGCACGTATACGATCGCGATATCTTTGTTCCGAGTGCACGTAACCCTGTGCTAAAAACTGGTACAGTTCAACCACTGATACCCGCGACTCTATGAAAAGTCCAAAAGGAGACTGGCCTTATTGGAAAATCGTCAGTTCCAAAACGAACAAGTTTATTGAATAGATAATGTAAATTGAATAATATCACAGGAAATAAGCGAAAGGAAAAATGTTTTGGATGATGCATGACTCAATCGGAATCGTTGAGGTCTTAGGATGATCCGAGCCAAAGCTGTGTGAAACGAAGCAAAAAGAACGCCTTTGATCTGCACCGAATAAATAAGCGTTTGAGATAAATACATGAACCCGTTTGAATGAAATTTTGTTTGATTAAAGGGAAACAGCTGCAGAATCGTCAAAACGTTTTTAGTTTAGTTCAAGCAATTACCATGAGAATTAAAGCGTCTCATTGTAAGTTAGTAATGTTAACGTATAACATTTTACAGCAGCATCGCATTCAAATGTATATTATATAGCCGTATCTTATACATATCATATGTATATTATCAAGCCGTATCTTATACATATCATATATTATCAAGCCGTATCTTTACGACATTTTTATCAAATGTTAGCATACGAATCATGTGAGGGAATCATTGCGCAATGCTGCCTTGAATTTCTATTAAAAGACGTCACGCCGCAACGGTATTAATGTTCGCAAAGGGCGAAATCCTATTACCATTCTCATAAGTGGTTGCGGCTTCTCTGTCGTATCAAATCCATTGTCTTGGGTATAAAGTAGCAAGATCAACATAAGTTCAGACAGATTAAACGGCCACGCTATGTATGGCAACTTATTGTTTTCCAGAGACCGGGTCACGTAAGCGCTGCGAGTATAAATAATGAACTAATTAAAATTTTCAAAGAACACGTCGCAATTAAAAAATTTTGTATTATTAACTTAAAGAGATAAGATAAGGAAATAGATAGATAGGAGAAAAAAGGAATTCTAGAGATCGAATTATGATTCTTGTTTTAGTAAATACTGTAATTATGATTAAAAATATAACTCAAGGTTTGGACGAACTGCTTTATACGAATGTAGGTCGGGTCAGGAAAGTACGACAGGATTCTGCGATAATCTAATTTCATTTCATTCTCATTTTCCGATAAAGGTTGAGCTTTTATATTAGGTCATTAATTAATTGATTAAAACTTGCCAGAATATAGTTGCTAGTAATAAGCAAAGTATGCTGAACGTATCGTACGGTCCATAGATCGTCGGTATTAATGTGCACGATACAGCGCCGAGTAATACTGGATTGAACGTTGTTAAACCATTTGCAATAAGGTCCTGCGAATCTCGTAATAACTGCGAATTAAATATATGATTCTTATTTAATTTTCTGATAGACTATGTGTTTCCGAAATCATGACGATTCTACATTCAACGGAGGTCAGAGACGAAAACCAAGACCTTGTTTTAAAAAAAAAATGAACTTATTTATTGTTGATATTTTCAAACATGAACTATTACTAATTTATCTTATTTTCCCTTATTATTATTATCTTTATCTATGATTATACATGCTAATATGATCGGAGCTTGAAATTAGCACATATATTCTTGAAGCCTTGAGCATTAAAATACCTACAATTATTTCTTATTTGCGTGAAGAATTCACGTGTGGATAATTACTAAGGCATTGTCTGTTGAATCAGGTCATAAATATATTATATAACAGTAATACAAAATTCGAGAATTTTAGAATAAAATTTAAATTAAAAAACTAATTTCAAAAAATTTGGTACAATGGAATCTTACGTACCACTGATAATAAAAGACCCAGAGTACCAGTAATTGATGTGAATAGTAACGTAACGGGCGCAGTACACGCTAAGGAGATCACTATTAATAGCCCGCTGATTGGATTATTTGCACATACTACCTAAAAATTTGTATGATTTGTATAAAACGAAAACAAATAATGCCGAACTTATAACTCACTTGACTGAAACCACGTAATAGGAACTCAAATAAGCGCAATCCGCTCCAGAAAAAACTTTCCTTCTCCAGCAGAAACTCTTGCAACATAGCAAAGTTTCCAACGAAAACCGGCCGGGAATATCCCTGAGTTATAAATATGCAACAAGTTAATTAAATGTTTGATTAAAGAAATCGTTAATTGAATTTCCATATCTCCGCAGAGGAATTGAGCAGGTATTTTTATAGAACGTAATGTAGGGCAATTATATAATTTAAACAAAAATCTGATAACTTACATGATGCGTAGGTCCTTCCAGTCGTTCTTTCATAACTGTACCACAATCAACTATCTAACTGAAAGACTACACCTCGCTCTTGCAAATAAATTCATTAACTAGTGCGCCAATTCCCCCACTAAACGTAACACTTCTTAGTGATAAGGATTCGCAAATATCAATGGCTTAAGTTGTTCAAGCCAGCGTATTTTATCTTACAATGAAAAGCAACGTGCGATTTTTGTTGTTACTTTCTTTTACGTTCGAGTTGAAACTAGATTACTTGCTAAATAAATTATGATTTGAAAGGGCAGTGGAATACAGTGCAATTAACACAGTAATCTGTTTAATTATCATGATTAGCCAGTACGTTGATAATGAACGATAAACTCATACAATTAAATGGGTACGTAAATAAATAAATCGGTTTATTAATATAAATATATTTTTAATTTAAAAAATGTAAAAAATATGATTACAATCATTTCACTTCGAGTTAGTTACATATAGTAATACTACAAATTATTTTATAAGACGTTTAGATATCGAGGACGTAATTCGGATGTACCACAAGCAAGGGATCGTCCTCTTCATCTTTACCTTTGCTCTTCAGGCTTGTAACAGTTAAAGGTATAATGATCTGATCCTGAAAATTAATAAAATTAAACGTAAAGCATTGATAATAACACACAAATCATTTTTTAAATTGTTGGTTTGATACGAACATGATATGTTAATCTGTCGATAATCTTTTCAATAAAGTTTTTCCTTTCCAACAATTCTTCTTCGGAATCAATCTGATCCTGTACTTGGTCAAGATACCAGGCTACCAGTTCAGACTTTCTCAACCCGCTCTTTGCATCATCTATAAAATAAGAAATATAGTTATGAAAATGTAGTTAATTTAAATATCAATAAAATATGAAGGGAAAAGCAATGTACCCGATGGATCAGACTCAGCGCGTGCCTCTTCATTCCTCATATACAACACTAACATGTTAGATAAGTTCTTATACTCTTCAAAAGACATCGTTAACTTCTTCTTCTGTACTTCTTGTGCTGCAAATTTCATATAAAAATGTATTTATTACAATTCTACGAAATAGTTAGACGTATAAAATAAAAAGAAATTACGTTGTGGAGTATCCTCATCCCGTCCTATCGCGTTGAGTGCAGCCATAAGAGGAGGAGCTTCATCCGACATACTAACATCCAAGTTCCCATCCTCGCCTTCCTCTAAATCTATGTCTGGTTGTTCTACGGTAACGATACTCTTACTTAATAAGCGTTTCGCTTCCTTAACATGTCTCACAGTAACTTCATCCAAACATTCTAATTTGGCCATCGCCTCGGACAATCTAATGAGACTTTCTAACTGTCTGACAGTAACTCTCCACCTGCCGGAACTGCTCGATCTCTGCCTAAGTGTCGTGTAACTATCAATTAGAAATTCCATCGCTTCCTGCAAAGTTGACGTAACTTAATATAATTCAATCAACAACTTCGGCTATGAGCGTAATAATACCTGGCTCAACACAGGCTTGAAGTGTTTGGCGAAATTGATGTATCTGACGATCTCCGAATGCGAGTATACTGTCTCAAAATCCTGCCAATTATCGCAGTGTATATCGATAATTCTTTTAGCTATCGCATTGTCAATAATTTCGTTACACTCGTCAATTATAATAAAGAACAAATCGAATCTGGACATAATGGGAGCCGTGAGCTGAACATTTTGTTGTAAGGACTTCTTCCTATCGTATCGCCCGCCGACAGGATTCGCCGCTGCCAATATCGATGTGCGGGCATTTAAAGTTGCTCTCACTCCGGCCTACAAATTCATTTCTCTAGTAATAACGCATAGTATTAAGAAATACATATATGCTCGTATTAACAGACCTTAGCTATTGAAATTGTCTGCTGTTCCATAGCTTCGTGTATAGCGACTTGATCTCTCAGATCCATTTTATCAAATTCATCGATACAGCAGATGCCTTGATCAGCGAGCATCAAAGCACCGGCTTCGATGACGAAATCAGGCGACTCCTCATCTCTGATTACAGCTGCGGTCAAACCAGCCGCGGAAGATGCTTTCCCCGACGTGTAAATTGCTCTCGGTGTGATTTGAGCAACGATCTTCAAAATCTGAGATTTCGCTGTACTTGGATCGCCGACGATACAACAATTTATGTCCCCTCGGAGCGAGGTACCTTCTTCCGTCGTCTTCCCAACACCGCCAAACAACATTAAGATAATTCCCTTTTTCACTTCATCGTTACCATGTATCGAGGAGAACAAACTATTGACAAGATTCTGATAAAGATTTTTATCACGACTCATCTCGTATATACGATTCCATTCTGCTTCGGTCATACGTTTCTTCATCATTTCTTGAGAAATCTCTTCCATGTTCGCTTCTGTCCCACCAAACTACAAATACATTAATCGCATAAAATTTGTGTTTACGTGCGAGTGGTTTACTTGGCGATTAATTAGTAATACCCTGAAGCTCGTCGGGGTGACACTACAAGCTAGAAATGCAGTCTTGTACGTCAATTCGCGTGTTCCCAATGATTTCAATCCTGTCACACCTTCCCCTTGATCCATATTCCTCTTACGCCTTGATTTAGGATCGGCTTTCACGCCGGGGAACGAAAGGACTGCTACATCGGGTACCACTATCATAGTACCCGTAAAATCAAATCTAGAAAGTATAATTAAGTTTTGCTAAACATCGCTTAAAAGAATTGTAGCTTCGTTTTTATTAAAATACCTGTCACCAGCTTGGATGGTTTCCACTGCTTCAGCTCTTAAAATAATTTCAAGCGAACGTGGAATACATCCCCTCGGAAGTTCTTCTTGTGTTTCCTGTATCTTGATCTTTTGGAAATCTACAAATACTGAGTTATCTACATCCAGCATGAAATTTCTTCTGTTACTGCATACTGGATTATGACAAATAGTTGGATTTGTAAACTGCAAACAGTTATATCAATTATATTATAACAAGTACATTCATTCTATCAGCAAGAATGATTATGCTGTACCTTAAATTGCTGTTCTACATTTTTTATAACGCCATTACAGTCCATGCAAAGGAACGTTCCCAATATAAGTTCTGGATGAACAGGATGAGTTCTTATTACTTGTCCGGATATACGTATCAACGTTCCCAGTTTTGAGGAATTCAATTCCCTCAGTTTCTGCCTCGTTGGCACTTCCACAAAGCTGACATAACATTCTTTCTCCTTCCTTAATTCTGCTACGTCCTTAACATAATTACAAACCGCCTGGCATAGGTAAGGATAGACTCTGAGAAACAGAAATGTATTAAGTATAAATAATAATAGAATTAAGAATTGGGAGATGAGCAGAATTTACCTGTAGTATTCCTCAACAATAGTTGTAGAAAGCACTTGATTATATTCGTCCACATCGTCGAATGTGACTTCTAACGTGCAGTGCTCTGGACTAACAAGCTCTTTAGCTGGTTCGAGATACTTCACAACGCCATCCTCTTTGAATCTAATAAACGAAATATTATCAAATTGTTTAACTAACAATTCTTTGATTAAAACTGAAGTACTTACTCTTCTAAGAAATCTTGAAATAACTTTTGACATTTAACTCCAACTTCATCGATTACACGAGATCCAGTGGTCTGCGTATCTCCGACGTCCATTTTAAAAATTGTTCAACAAAGTGAGCTTTATTCAAATAAATAACAATGCAGAAGCCGCATTTAACCATGGAACACCACGCGTGTACAATTTGGCGGGAAATATATTTGGGCACGTTTCCAATAGAAAATTAAAATACCGTCCCCCTCTCGTGCGGTCCTTGGGTGTCCATAATCTACATGCTTTAATTCATCAACTTCTACAATGTTCCAGTGTTTATATTCGAATATAAATGAGATCAAATTCTTAGATGTTTGATAATTTGGTTCAGGATTGGAAAAATTACATTCTTTGTTTTGAGAATAGCAGATTAGTCCCCAGTTTTCACTATTAGATGGCACCATCATGTCTATTCATGTGGCCGCTTAATATCTCTGGTCGAGTTACAGGATCTAGCGAGATTGCCTCTTTTAGTTTCTCTCCGCTCAAAAAGATTTGAATTTTGAATCAGCGTTGGGCACATCGTGGGTTTTTTGGGACGTACGCACTGGAAATGACTAGTAGCTGCCGAATGATGTACTTATTTTTTCAATTTAAAGATTCCCTTAGATCTCGAGTGCGAAGACAGGCTTGGAATTAAAACTAATCTCGAAAATAAAATATTACGTTATCTGACTGTATGATATTTGAAATATTTCAGAGCTAGGATAAAACCTAGCGATTTATTAGCTAAAATATAATGATCCGCCTGTAGCCGAGACTGTATATAGTGTAAATAGTTAACTAATAAATAATGGTATATGTATGATAGTTTGTGCGTTGGTTTTGGTTTTCTTACCATTCAGACACGGCACCTATATTACTGACCGATAGACGTTAGCGGGTGGGTGATCAAGAACACGCACCCTCTCTGACGAGGCGTTTATCGATACAGTAACTATCTGTCCCGAGGAACTTCGATTAGCGACCGACACCCTCTACACCAGTCCATACGAGATTTTAAATTTTTTAATTGAAAAAAAATCATATTTATAGAACTGATTTATTAATCCTAGTAAATACATTTTATTTAATTAAATTCTGAACTTTGTATTAGTACCATATGTTACATTTTGTTTAAAATAAACAAATTTTTAATAATATAACATTGTTAGGAGCTTCAAAGTGTTTAAAAAATGAGAAATAAATATGTCCTTTAAATACGATCAGAAGATATTTGTGAGACTTTTATTCTACACCTTTTTCGAACGAAGATTATATAAATTAAAATGAAGATTGAAAGAAAGTATATAAAATATATGTCTGTACTTATATAAATAGCAAATACGTATTTATATAGATTTTATACAATTTGATCTGTCAATTTGCGAATACAATTTTTGAAAGTGGTAATTTAGGAGAGGAAGTAATTCGTTAATAGTAAAATGTGCCAAGGCAGTGACCCCGCAATTAACGACATGCTGCGTGGAATTTTAACGGACGGCAATTAAAGATTTCGTAATAGTAAAAAGAAAGAGAAAGTAGAGAAATGTTTCGGCAGATACATATGTAAATAGATACGTACTTGCACGCTGTACACGTTTCCTGCGACCGACAAGACTTCGCTCTTAGAGCTGTTACTTCTATACGATATAAAAAGGACGCAAAGTGCACGGTGACGTTTTAGTTCCCTTAAAACCTTTCAGAATGTCAGCCGATGCTACCTTTTACTTGGTAAAATTCTATTCTTATTCATCGTTTTTATTTGTGTTATTAATAATCGTTAAGTTAGTGTCAGCCAAGGAGTAACGCTATAATCGTTTAATTCAGGCAACGTTTGTCTGCTTGACCAGTGGTATTTTCGCAACAGAGCTACCCCGAGTTAGTAAACCGTTGACAAGTTTACAACCGCCGTCTCTCGATTATCTTCCGGCTACAAATAATGTCTCTCCAAAACTTCCTCGCACTCTTTTCATCGCCGAAGCATCGGACAATGGCTTAAGGAAAGTTGGAGCGTCAGGTAAAAGCTTCACGGAAGGACAAGTCCAGGGAGGATACTCGTACCTGAGACCATTGTTAGTCAATCTTGAGTTGCCCGTCAAAGACCAAACGATCATACCTGTCGTGGATAAACAACGGTATGAATTCAGTCTCATATTTTCCTGCTACTAGAATTCAGTTTTCTCCTTCTATAATTCTCGAACGTAGGTACTAATGAAAAAGTGCTTATCGCAGTTTTCTTGTTAAGCATTTCTTCGAAGTTCAGTGGTTAAGGATGTATTGGCTATACAGTCAATCCCAAAAGTTTATGCACTTTAGAAACGCATTTTTTAAAAAGAAATCAGACGTCGGAAGAACATTGCTAATAATAAACAATAAAAAAAAATTTTCGATTTTTCCGAGATTTTTCCAAGGGGTACCCCTTCAATTTCTTCCAAATTTTCGTTTTTCATCAATAACTCGTAAACTATTAATGCTAGCGAAAAATTTTTATACAGAAATTGTAGATTTCGTCGTCCTCTACAAGAAAGGTCTTATGCAATTTTCCCGTAGATTCAACGGTTTAGGAGTTATTGAGGAAAAACGAAATTTTTTGTCAAAAGTTCGCCATTTCGACGCTGGGATGGTCGGATTTTGTCAACATCAATAAAATGCTAAATAATCATATGTAACTCATTAAATATCGAAGTTAGAAGGAAAACAACTTTTATTTGAAAAGCACCTTTATTTAAGTTAGATGATTAAACTGTGAAGATGAAGTTGTGAACGTTGACGTACAGAACGAATCCGTTCGTGTCACTATAACTTAGTTTTTCCCGTCTTACCAATAACTAACTTTGAAACGTTCTAACGAAAAAGTGAATTATCACATTCATCTTGTTGAACTCCGAAGTTCGTTGATTAAGTCGCGAACACGAAGTCGCGAATCGCACAAGAATGTGTTGGGTATTTGCATTTTAAGATTGGCGGAAGTGCAGCGTTCCGGAACAACAGCGATAGTGAAACCGGCTAAATCATCGAGGTCGAGTATCAGAGCGAAGCTGCAAGCGAACCAAGAGGTCGAATATCAGCCCCACGTTCCGCAACGATCGTCCTCGTATCAAGTTGTGGAAGAGCACGATGAATACCTAACGAACGATTCGGATCATGCAGGATTGCCCCATCGTGGGAAGGCTCAGACAACGAATCCCCATCGTAATTCGCAAGACATAACGACGGCCATCAAAGCCCTCGATCACTTCCTGAGCAGGGCTCTGAATGATGATAGTTACAACAGCGCGCTACATCCACCGCCCAATCCTGTTTTAGCCCTCGTCCTGTCCCGATACGGGCGATACGTGCCCGGAGCACGAAACCCTCGCGTGTACGCGCACATGGCAGTAAACAATATTCACAACAACAAACCTTTCGGTAGCTACAAGTTAGAATGCGACGAGCTGCCTACTTACGTGCGACGGTAATACTGGCAGAACCTTCATTAGGAAAATTCTTATACTTTAGACCCGACAAAACTAAGAATTAGTTAGGGAAAATAAATGAAGGATGTTAATAAGCAAGATTAAAATGCTAATAACACTGTAGATAGGAGAATTGTACAGCTTGTCTCAGTATTGATGGTGCAACTATAGAGGGAATAACTGTGCATGAGAAAATAAGTTGGAATGTGGAATAAATCTTTTTTTTGGAGCTTTGCTTTCGAGAAAATCGACTTTTCCTTCGAGTATGCACTTGACTATGTCGTGGTTAAACAGATCTTGATACAAACCATATGTCGTAGATTTCTCAGTAGTAATAAAGCATATAGTTCTTAGTTCTCTGAAAGCCAAAGTGATCCTCGATTTTAATTGTGGAAGACTTGGATTGTCTTCAGAATAGATTTTTAATTTAATATAAAAATCAAGAGATTCTACATAAATGGATAAAGTAAATAATGGTTTGTGCCTTTTCAACGACATAGTCAAGTGCACAATCTTATGGTGGAGTACATGCGTCCTCAGAAGAAACTCAAACCCGAATTCCTCGAAAACAAAAATATTTTCGACATATTTCTTCAAGTACAGCCCCTCCACAGTCGTACCATTAATACTGAGACACCCTGTATATATTTTTATCTTCCTTTAAGGAAAGTTACTTTTCTTAATAGCATCAATTAGAAACAAATTATCTACTTTGAAAGAAAACCGATTCCTTTAATAATAGTGTAAGACGTAAAACAAGTAAAATAAGTGATCTGATAAATTGCGTACGTGATATCGAAGTTACCTCGAACTTCCATTTTCAGTTCGCGAGTTATGAATTTTTCTTTTATACGTTGAATTCCGGTTGACTAAATTAATCTACTCCCGCCCATCGATGCCCCGGGTTTGAACCGCGCACTCCACATTGGATCAGCCGAAAGTTTCCCGTTGGCTGACGCTGCGCTGATTAATTATCCCAACGACACTTCGGATACCCGCCCGTATTAAAGAAAACTTTCGCGCAGTTCCTTCGTAGCCCATTCTAAATTTAATCAATATCATGCGGATTTACCCTTGAATCTACCGGCAATCGGGCTTGGCGCGAAGTTAATTGGAGTAGTTCGAGAAGCAGCTCGAGAAACCCCGATTAAGCACTAAACTACTCTCATTACACCTTCCTGTCTCTCCGGAAACCTCTCTAGATACTACTAACTTGATTTCATTGATGAAAGCCATGTACCGGTCTCGGCTGCTATTGCTCTTGTTCAGAACACGTCCGTCAGATATGTACACGCCAATAAATCTCTCCGGCCCGATAAACCCGCGTCGCTTCGAAACAAACGTTCGATAAAATATGTATGGAAATTGTCAATATTTAATTTAAAAAATAGACACACGTATAAATTGATGAATTTGAGAAATATATATGTCTGCGAAGGATGATACGTTGCAAAAGTTGGCAGCTTGTTGCATTTTCATCTACGTTTAACAGAAGCGTTGAAAAGTTTAGTTAGCTGGCCGCGTATGGATAAATAAATCATAAACGTGTAGTTGCGGACGTTTTCAGAGGCCGGTTAATTTTCCTGTCTCCGGTGTACTTGTTGCGGGGTCGTAAAACGGACGGCGAGGGCTTAAGTGGTGCTTGATTGCCGTCCGTCCGTTAGGAAACCAGATTGTCTGAAAATTGTATTTTCAGGCCGACAGTCTCCATTAGCTTCTTCGAGCTTTACCAAAGAAAATCGGCGCGCAGTAATAGCTTTGCTAATAGACCGTTCGCGTAACTCGAGATTCTATAATTAATCGATATATCGAAGTATGCTATAATACGCTTCCTTTTCGTTTCACGCCACTTCGAACGAGTTACCCGACGGAGTTTCTATAAAATGATTCACCCGGTTAACGTTAAACTAATTAAAGCGAGCGTGGGGAATAACATTTTTCTATTATGACTCCGTAAACGGCGAAACAAGAAAAGATTGTTAGACGTTTCTCTCGTTTCTTTATTCCCTCTGGTTTCGTTTTCAACCTTTTATTTGCCCTCGCTGTTATTTTTCCCTTTGGAGTTCTAAGGGGAGGCGCACCGGTATACATGTAACGTAAGTACGTTCGCAAACTTTCCCATATCGTATTATAAAAGTTCTTGGGAGAAGTCGAAAGAAATATGACACCCACATCAGTGATAAGCGTTTACGAGGTGGGAGCAAAAAAATTTCGAATCAACGTTTGCATGAAATAACAGCGACGAGGAGCTGCGGGTCTCTTTCGCGCACCCTTACCAGTGTTCCGCGCGATCCAGTTTCCTATAACGGAGAAAAACAGGATCAGAGGTGGAAGAAACATGAGGGAGCAGGGTAAAAAACAAGGAAATGTGCTTGTTCGTCATTATTTCCAACCACGATCTGCGCCTTTCTTTTGCACTCCGTTCTCTTCGTGATCTTTGGAAATCTGTTCTTTTTTTTTTTATTATTATTCACCGAGACTCCTCAAAGGTTTGCAAGCACGGCTGAAACTGCGGTGCGCGCAGTCTGGCTCGAACCGCAATAAAAAGCGGCGAGCTGGTAGGAATAAAATATGAGAAATACGGCTCGGATCTTTCCTCCGTGACGGGGTGGGAAGGAAACGAGATGAAGGCGGAAGATGGAGCCGGAAAAAGAGGAGACCGTATTAACGCGATGTTTTCCTACGTAACGCGAGACGGCAAAGAAGGATAGCATTAAACGTTTCTCCCTTGGCATTTCCATTTCCGACTATCGCCAAATTTTCGATAAGGTTCCCACTCAAAACTTCCAACTTCAAAAGCCCTTAAAGAAAATTATTTGAACTCAGAGTTCGGATTTCCAGAGAACTATAATGGACGAAAATATGAAAAAATCAAGATATCTATTGATGTCAATTCGCAGCAAGAAAACAATGCAACGTCCCATTGAAATTTTGATCGGTGAACGTCAATACTTTTTGCTCTGAAAACCCCAGGACAATCAAGTGTCGATTTGTTTTGAAGTCGCACATTTCTGTTTTCCCCAAGCTCGTCCATTAACTTCCACGGCAATCCAGATCGCGATTATTCCCATCCGGCGATCCGTCTCTATCCGGCGACGTATGTCAGTCCGAACGTGGACGTGCAGAGGAAAAATAATGGATCGCATTGAAAAATAATTGACAATACATTTCGGATAACTATCCACAAATACACAGAACCGTGAACGAATCTACGCAATCATCCCATGAATCTCGTGTTACATCGCGCAGAATAATTTATAACACGAACGTCTTGCAGTGCAAATATAAAAACGCGGATATACTCGGCACTAAAAACTGCCGCGAGGCGAGGCGGAGCGGTGAGGTTAATTCAGTTTTATATAATCGTCCAGGAAAATGAGATACGCGTGGTTTATTACTCGCACCTTCCCAGATAAATTTTTTTTTTTTTTATAACTTTTATATGCAGTTATTACGCGGACGTCGTTTCGCGTGCGCCACTCGATATTCTTTTTCAGTAAATCGCGGCGGTGGCAATTGAGAATGGAAAGCATCTCGAGATCTCCCACACGTGACGCGTCCAAGTAGCCACTCAGTTCTACCCGAGTTCCTCCTCATCGTTGTATGATTCCAGCTCAATTACAAGCGAGTAAAAGGTGGTATAGTGAAAGCAGCCTGGGGTGGCTCATCCGGTGCCGTGGCGGTGGTAACGATGAAGAGGCAGCCAGGTTTCTTCCGCGGGTAGCGCGCAATTCACTCAGAAGGGATGAGAGAGCCGTAGGGAAGTGTTGGGGGTGGGAGAGAGACAGATAGACGGCCGGAGGGAGAGAGGATATAAAACGGGAAAGACCTGGAAGAAAGTGCACGCACCCAGGCCACCGTAATTGCCACGGTGTTTATAATTGTTGCACACTCTTCTGCTCTTTGTACGGGTGCCTCTTCAGGCCTCTGACTCGTAACCCTCCCCGGTCGCGGGCCACTCCGCCGTGGACTCTTCACCGACGTCGCCGCGGCGCGGGGCGAGACGAGGAATTAGTCTGCGCGTTTTCACGGAGCCGACTTAATAGAGAACGCGAGAGAGAGAGAGAGAGAGGGCCAGGAGATGAAGAAAGTGGCCGCGGCATTGTTCCCGCGTGAAATCGGGCTACGGATACTCGAGCTGTCTCGCGGTCCAAGGAGCCTGCACGGTGAACGAGTTTCCTACGAGCTCGCGGTGAAAATTATCGTCGAGGGCGAGCCGCGCGCTGGTCACTTATCGCGTTCGCGAATTCGTCCCTGTGCGTTTCTTCCCTTTTCTTCATTCCGCAGTAAACTCTAATTGGTACCCCTGTTCTTTTATTAACATCAAACCCCATTGTTCTGGAATTCTTCCTAGTTTTAAACATCGTAGGAAGCTCGACGGTGAAATCGTCTTTAAACTTTGCGAAATTCGCGAATTATTTTCATCGAATTCAGTCATAAAATACTCATAATTTCGAGATAATACTTGGACGCGCGTACATCACGTTCAACACTTGAATCGGATGTGAGAAGACGAGATCGATCGGTCGGCCGTCGCGGTGGCAGGCACGTGGGGAAGGCACTGGAAGGCAAACATCGTCGCTAATTTATTCGTCGTAGCGAGCGTAGCACCAAGAGCGCGCCCGACACTCTCTCCAAATTTCCTCTTCCGACGTGTACGCGATTCGATCATGTCGGCCTATGTTACTTTGCCGTCGCGTCGCGTCGGGACACAGCACAGGAACCACTTATATTTGTGTTTATTACGTCGAGATGTGACGTCATTTCCGGAGGGAAGGAGGACGGAATAACCTCATCACCGTATCCCACAGACTGCGGCAGTGATTTCCCCTTTGAATGGAGCCAAGTGGTCCGTGCCTCTCTCTTTCCCTCTCTCGGTCTTCGGCTCACTTCCTTGCCTTACACCACCACGGGGCCACGTCGCATTCCCTTTCTTTCACCTTTGCCCAAGCTCACTTACTTTTGACGCTTTTATGCAAGACCGTTCGCAAATTTCGTCAAGTTTCACCCTTTTGTGTCACGGATTCGCGTAAGCGGAATTTCGCTCGTTCACCGGGTAATTTTAACAAGATATGCCGTAAATTCTTTTCCCGTGTTCCAGAAAGGAACTCGCGTCGTCGTAAATGCCGTTTTAAACTTATATGTATATTTAGAAAAGATTATTATAGGCGCCTGTATAATAAATTATTAAGTATTATTATTCAGCCGGTTTCTCTG